AATTGTTACTAGAAATTGGTTTCAAAAAACGTTTATAACTAGATGGGTGTGGTTTGCATATTACGTGACTTTATACTGACAACTTGAGTTGTCAACACATCAAACTGTTCAAATTTATAACCGTTTTTGTTAAAACATTTGGTTTAATGGTTTGAATGATCTTTACCGCTTCCATTCAGTTGATGTAAAATGATAACCCAAAGTAATTACACGCTGAGATAGTTATAGGATCAAATAAAACGCACATGTTGTTGCCTGGCGTACGCGGCATCTTTGAAGTTGTGTGCTGGTAATATTTTTTTTAACACACGAAGCATGATTTATTAGTTTTATTTTTTCACCTTCAATCTATCTAGCTTATTTTCTCTAGTCATGTCATCTCAATAATGATCTGTAGCAACGAATTCTTGTTGACATGAACATTAAATGTATTTATTCATTACATTAAACATTTCAATAATGGTTATCTTCATTAATCTTTAGTAATGTAATTTTTGATTGTAAATTCAAATTGAAAATGTAACTTCAGATTATCGATTCATCTTCATATTTTCAGTTGAATTGTTATGTATTAGACACATAGAGGAGCTCATTTAATTACACTCAAACTGTGGTGGTAATCACCTTATTAGATTAATTCAACATTGAAGCTCTGCCAATAAATTTATAACTATGAAAAAATCTAATGATTAGATATTTTAACGGCGTCATTGTTTTTAATCTGTGTATTGTCATGCACACATTTATATGGAAAAGCTCACGTGATATCATATTTTTAAGCTGGCTATATATATATATATATATATATATATATATATATATATCTGACTTGCTGGTACTTGTGATCACTATATTTTATACGGTTGCTTTAGAGAAGAATCTAAATCGTATAATGATTTTTCTCTCTTGTTGTACAATTTATTGCTGCATGAAGTTCTCAATGATGATATTTTTTTTCAATTAAAATACTATATTATTTTGATTTCCGTGATAATATGATTATTTGTCCTGACCTTTGTATGTGCGTGACGCCTTCTCGCTTCATGTCTATGTAGGCTGTTTTTTTAATTTAACCATTACTATCTAAACTAACTAAAAGACAATATCAATAATAGTCAATAACGAAATCATATGCTATATTTTCTTTGCATTATGGTTGTTTTGCATGCACCTGTGTTAATCAGATCAGCGCCATATTGGTCAAACGATAATAATAGAAGCATAATATAATCAAAAGCTCTTCGACAGTAACTACATTTACAATACTGAAAAATATCAATTATAGAGCGCACTAGACTGCATCTTCGAGCACTGAGCCATAAACAAACTGGTTACAACCAATAAATATATACAGATACATTAAACAAGATATTATCAATGTCATAGTCGCGTTTGTATTATTGGGACGAAATATCAAATGACTACCTATATCCATAATATCGAACAACATATAGATCCTTAGAACTGCAATCCTGCAATGATGACCTAAAATGCATGTATTTTTGTCCGATATGATGTATGTATGAAGTTGATGTGACACCAACGGCAAAATCATCACAAAATCGTGGGAAGTAATATATGAGACTATGTTTTTTTCTCTCTAAGGTCTATGTGCATTTTTTAAGCTTGTCAAAAATTACTCACACTTATTTTCATAATTCGATATAAATCATTCGACTCTCATTTGTGTTTTTCTAAGATGGCAAAGTCAGTGTATATCGTCGGTGCAGTCGTTATTGGCATGGGTCCGGTTTGCATACAAGGGAGTCTGCCTGGTGTACAGGTTACCGTCATTTCAAATAAATTTTCTCCCAAAACGACAAGTGATATTGCTAGAGGATTATAAGCCCCACCATAAACAGTATTAAATTTACGTCCAGATATTTACTTAACAAGATTGTATAATGCAAACTAGACAATCACCGAAGGTGACGTAATTCAGAGCATAATTAGATGGTCATGGCATTACAATCAGAGAATAGTTTTTTATCAAGCACTAGGATGTGACAGAATCAATTGTATGCACGCGTATATGGTCTTACCATCATATAAGTAAAAGGGGAAATCGAGACACGTGGTGAAATTCCAATCCCATCTGAGAATTCTTACATGTGAACACCCGAATATACATGCTTCATAAGTTTTTATATATACGACATGTAAACAAAACCTAACTGTTTCATTTTGAAATACTTCACAAAACAAACACAGATGCAATGTTACACCCTAAAACACCCGACAATATAAGTGTCCATATTTTTTGTTTTTTTTTTGTTTGTTTTATTTTTTTACTCTTGTCTGCTTGTCTTTGTCGTTTTGTATTATGTAATTAATGTTTACTGTATTGTTTGTAATCAAATGAAATAAAATTGTGTAAAGAGAAAAAAAAAAGTGTCCATATACAAGGCACTTTTGTATGCCGTCTAAATTATGCAATACAAAATGCTCACACACGTCACTATTGCCGGCAGATGTACTGGGATTGTAGCGATATATTTATTGATTTTAGTAGTTTCAGTAATAAATAGCCCTATATATTCATACATTTTGCGAGCGTGCATGCCATGTATCTGTCATAAGTCTAACAACCGATGCATTTAAACATGCACGGTGTTGTTATCCATGCTCAAGTTAGTAAGCTGGATGACGCAGCGCGAGACAGTCGTTAATTTCTTGTGATCTAATCATTAGATTTTTTCATAGTTATAAATTTATTGGCAGAGCTTCAATGTTGAATTAATCTAATAAGGTGATTACCACCACAGTTTGAGTGTAATTAAACGAGCTCCTCTATGTGTCTAATACATAACAATTCAACTGAAAATATGAAGATGAATCGATAATCTGAAGTTACATTTTCAATTTGAATTTGCAATCAAAAATTACATTACTAAAGATTAATGAAGATAACCATTATTGAAATGTTTAATGTAATGAATAAATACATTTAATGTTCATGTCAACAAGAAGAATTCGTTGCTACAGATCATTATTGAGGTGACATGACTAGAGAAAATAAGCTAGATAGATTGAAGGTGAAAAAATAAAACTAATAAATCATGCTTCGTGTGTTAAAAAAAAATATTACCAGCACACAATTTCAAAGATGCCGCGTACGCCAGGCAACAACATGTGCGTTTTATTTGATCCTATAACTATCTCATCGTGTAATTACTTTGGGTTATCATTTTACATCAA